TTCTTAAGATGACTTTCGGTTATGACGTGTTTAACTAGGATAAGTGTTGCTGAGGGGCGGCACGGTGGGCGACTGGTTAGCACGTCCGCCTCACTGTGCAGAGATGCATGCTTCGATTCCGGCTCCGACCTTCTTGTGCGGGGTTTGCATGTTGTCCCCGTGCCTGCGTGGGTTTTCTCTGGGTTTCCTCCCACATTCCAAAAACATTCATGGCAGGTTAATGGCACACTCGAAATTGTTCCTAGGTGTGATTGTGAGCGCGAATGGTTGTTCTTCTGTGTGCCCTGCGATTGGCTGGCAACCAAATCAGGGTGTACCCCGCCTACTGCCCAAACACAACTGGGATAGGCTCCAACACACCCGCGACCCTTGTGAGCAGAAGCGGATTAGAAAATGGATGGAGAATGTTACTGACCCAAACTGCAGCACCTGACGAAGTACAAACTCTGAGATGGTCTTTGGGATGGTTGAAATGCGAGAGACACAGGCTTTCTGCGCGGCATTCCAGCAATGTTTTGTGTGCGTCCACGTTTATATCCTGGCAATCGACCTGACCTGATTTGATTTAATCATGATTTTAATAATTGTCCTCTTTGAAATGTTACACCAAAAATGCATTCAAATTAAGGCCTACCCCTTAATAGATGCCTCACCCCATCTACAGTTGAGTTAAAAAAAAAACAAACAAACAAAAAACGCCCAAGACTGCTATTTGCGGTACTTCAAAACACACTCACTCTTTAAATGTCTCTCCCTTACACACGTTACAGCACAAGCAGGAAAATGAGAAATGAAAAACAAAGCCTATGGCAGAGGATATCAAAACAAACAAAAACAAATGACTTTTTCAACACGTTACACACGTGAATGTTTTATCGGTGGACGACAATAAAGACAATTTTTACAAGAGAGTGTAAAAAGGTGGTTTGCATTAGCAAAAGAGGAAGTGCCTGTTTACCGTATTTGGTGTAGGGCGGGTTACGCAAGAAGGGTGATGGATTACGAGGAAGAGAGAGCGAGAGAGAGAGAGAGAGAGAGAGAGAGAGAGAGAGAGAGAGAGAAAGAGAGAGAGTTGTAGACATAAAGACAGCGAGACAGAGCAGAGCAGATACGCAGCTGATTGATCAACACTCCACTCCTAAACAGGAAGTGTTTTTTGAGCGGGAGACGGAAACACCAAATGGGTGTGCCCCAGGATATTTGCTCTGTCTTGTCAACTTGTGCAGCATGGACAAACAATGGTTGAACAAGCAGATCTCCGGGCACATCTTCAAATTCATTCAAACAATACAGTACACTTTGACTTTCTGAAGCGCAAATGGAGGAGGAGTTCAGCGGTGGCTTGGAGGTTGACCCTCACAAGGCCTCAGCGGCTCTTAGCATTTCAAATACACACACGGCTACTTAAGGAGACCCCGACGCTCCAGACGGCTTTCCGGAAAAAGACCATTTCCTGTGGAACTGCTGTAGGTCGCTGTCCATAAAGCCGATGGCTCCCTTGAGCCAAAGCTACCCTTTACGATACTTAGTGTATGGACCCACTGCTACCACACGCACTGTCTCTCTCTCTCTCTCTCTCTCTCACACACACACACACACACACACACGCATAAACACTCTCCAGCTCAGTTGAGTTGAGGACAGTTGATCATGTTATCAGGTTACAGGGTGAATGAAAGGCTTAAAATGGTTGTTAGTTGCCCCCTGCTAACATGGCAACCACGTATGACCACGTTAGCAGGTCTGTTAGCCTGCGCTGGTCTACTGTGTAACACGGGAAAACATGTGTACTAGTCTCTGTGTGTTGATTGCGCCACAGCGCCATGTGTTGTATAAAATGTCGGGAGAAAGATTATGACTTTTTTTTTGGGGGGGGGGGGTAAGGTAAAACCATACAATATTATTCTCATATGTATGGATTTCTTGGGGGGAAAAGACTCACTTTCGTAACATGCTGGCTTCTTAAGATGTTTTCTTTTGTCCTAAGAGATGAATTAAACCTTTATCCTCAATGTCTGAACTGTTCTCCTTCACACTTCTTACTCTCACTGAAAAAAAAAAAGCACGATGGGCACCGTCTTTGAATTACAATAAATAAAAAGAAACATGTCGCTCATAAATATGAAACACTACCATATTTGAACATGAATATCATTTAAAAAAAAAAAACCCAGTGGAAGAATTGGGTACTGCTCCTGTCCTCACTGACCCTGCTCCAAAATTACTCGATAGCAACAAGCAATAGCATCTTCCGACATGAGACACCAGATACAATTAAACCTATTTCCAGCCTTAATTACCATTTTAATTAGCACGGTTGTGAGGAAGAAATAATCCGCTCCAATACGGTTAAACGTACAAAAGCGTTGATCTCACCGGCGCTTTAATCCCACCCATCTCCAGAGGCTGTTGTAACATGCTGTTTAATGACTATAGCTGAAGAGGGGGGGGGGGGGCGGCGAGGTGAAACAATAACAGGAGGCATCCTAGGTTAGGGCCCACGCCCAAAAAGCTGGATTCACACTTTCTTCGCAAACCGCACTCAAAATAATCGAGAGCAAACAAAGAAAGGTGGAAATGTGTCTTCTCCTTCCCTCTTTCTTTGAAGGGACTATTCAAGCCACACCGGAAAAGAAAAATACAATAGTTGAGAAGAAAATATTCGGTTGTGAGATAACAAGAATTAAGACGTATGGATAAAGTCAGACTGTAATTTTAAAAGTTTAAAACATGATATATATATATATATATATGTTTTTTTTGGTGGGGGGGGTTTAGTAGTTTGAAGAATGGTCATACTATTCTGAGGGGGGTGAGGGGGATATATAAGTAAAACATGCCAGATTGGGTGAGAATAGTCCGAATGAAGCAAGAATCAAGTGAAATATAAACGAAAACAAGTCATAAAAGCAAGGAGGAAAAAACACACACATTTAAAACAGATTAATGAGAACAATGTCATCCAGTTGTAATTTTGCAAGAATAAATCGTGATTCTAAGAGGAAAAAAAATGCAATTGGATATGAACAAACACATAAATTGTGATATTTTCTTATAAGGCCGAAGTATTCATATTACGAGAACACTAAGTCCTATTTTTTTAAAGGCACCTAGTGACAATACTTAACCGATAAAACCCGAATATTTCGAGGAAATGTTTTTTTTTGCATGAGGACAGAATTTTAATATTATCACTCATGTCGCAATATTTCAAATAAAAAAGGCCTAACGCTGCAATTTTACAAGAAAATTCATACATTCATGGGGGAGAAAAGTCGTAATTCGCCGTGTGTGTGTGTTGCGGAATTTTTATATCCCCTCAGTACAACTCCTATTTTGTCATCATATTCTTCTTCTATTCATTCTTCATTTGGAATTGAACACTGGAAGCATACAGCATTCCATAATATCTTGATAAATGAGCTGTCAGGATTCAAGAAAAAGTATCTTTTTGTGAGAGACAAAATCATAGGACAAAAAAAAAAACAGATGCAGGCCTCTTTTCTTAAATAATAGCAATATTTATTCCATGTGTCTAAAAAGAATCAATACAATCTAAAGCAAAGACGTAAGTTTAAATTATCATCTCTTAGTCGCATCACAATAATATGCAAAATGTGAAGTATTTACAGTGAGGAGGGGGAGTGGGTGTGGGGGGGTTACAGCCAAGTAAGCTGGGGCCCCTCCGCCCCAACAGTAACTTTTAGATGCTTTCATCAAGATACAACGTGACCCAAATGCAAAACATTGCTCAAACACCAAATGGGCTCGATTAGCAAATTTCAAATAGGAAGAAAAAAAAAAAAAAAAAACATGTACAAACTGCAACAAACAGAAACAACAACAACAGAATTTCTGAGGTTTAATAAACAAATACAGACAAAATTTGTACATTTTGGTACACCTTGGTAAGTAAACTACTTTTCAATTGTGTCGATATTGCATATGCCATTTGTACCGAGAATGAATTAGGTCAAGTACGAATTTCTTGTCGAATTTGCAGTTACAGCATTAGCAAAATTGTGACATCGTCGTTCACAATACTATACCAGCAGAGTTATTAAATTATTTGAAAACACAACCAAAAATAAAAACAAAAGGAAAACAGATCAAAGCCAAACCAGAACTGGTTAGCACATAACTTAATTAGTGCTTTTTGTTGTTTCACGCCAACACAAACTATGTACAGTAAAAACAGCATAAGTTATTTAACTTAAAAGTTGTTTTGCCGTCATAATGTCACACTATTTACAGTCTTTTAAGTACCAGTGGATCCAGATCGACAGCAATGATGCTTGTCCCGGCGTGTGTCGTTTTGCCGTTGTCGTAGCGTCGACTTTGTTGTGGCTTTTCACTGTTGTGGTGGTTTCATCGGGGCTGTGCGTTCCCAACCTTGGAACGCAGCATGTACTACATTCAACGCGTCTTGTGTTACAATCTAGACAAGTTTGTAAGTGCAAGACCATGCTTTCTCCCCGCCAGCGCCCCCCCCCCCCAAAAAAATGGCGGCACGAGGCCTGGCGACACAACTGACCACGTTGGCTCGGCGCCGCCATGAGGCAACAGGTAAGTGTGTGACTGGGAGTCTGTGTGCATTGTCTAGTTAAGACCAGGGATGGGCATTTGACCACTTTTCATTGATCGACTGTGGGGGGTCAACAATCAATTCATCAATTTCTTGTTAAACCACTACTCTATGAAAAGTGTGGGGGGGATAAATAACGCGGTGGGAATCAAGTGGTAATTATGAGAGCGCAATGCAAATGTCATCGGAATGAAATATCATTTTGCCAGAATAAAGTTGTTGGCGAATAGCTAATAATTGGTTCCGAACAATAATACATTAAAAAGCCAAATGATGGAAATGTTATCTTATATCAATATTTTTTTAAAGCCGTCATTTTACATTAACTTTTTTTTTTTTTTTGCATTTTGTATGCCTTAATATTGGAGGGAAAAAAATAAAAATAAGACAAAAAATTGCATGATTAAAAATTCCAAAAAATGAATATAATCTTAAAAAAAAAAAACAAAGCTATTGTTTTACAAAAAATAAAGTTGTTCTGTTGGGCATATCATGAGAGACAATATTCCCCCCAAAAAACCTACAAATATGAAAGCCTTAATAGTCTTAAAAAATACATTTATGAGAAAGTCTCAAATTTTTTTAAGAGAGAAAAAGTGAAATTATTCGATGTATAAAATTGTAACATAAGCAAAAAAAAGTGTATTTAATAAAAAAAGATTTTACGTCAATAAAGTCATAATATTATGACAAGAAAATACGTATTTACGGCCAAAAAAAACCAAAAACATCTGATGGGCTTTTTTTGTGTGTGAACTGCAGTCCTTCCGTTTTAGAACTTTTGCCTGACAAATTTTCATTTTTTGTCTTCATTTCTACCGAGATAGCAAAACTTCTCTGTGGGTGTTCTGAACTCCTATTTCCATCGCAGATTCTTAATGAACACAACAATGTTGCCGAGGGGAATGAGACGTCGGGCTTAGCTGACGCTGTCTTCAGACCGCAAACGAACGCAGATTGAATCAAAAGCGTCTCTGCTGGCCGCAGCTAAATAGCGAGTCAAAATCGAGTGATTTTGACTCGATTGGTACAAAAACACTTTGGAGCAACGATCATTTCCTCACAATCGGCCAAATCCTACCACTATGCCCATCCCTAGTTAAGACAAAGAACTTCAAACATTCCATGATGTCATGAGTTCCTGCAGGCGGCTTTGGGCGGGTGTGCAGGGGATTACAGGTGAACAGGTCCATAAGTGTTTGGAGGTGCTGAGACTTTGGCTCAGACAGGCCACGGGGTGTACCTGGGTCATGCTGCGGTGTTTGAGCGTGACATCATCGCTTCTTCAAATAAAAAAAAGAATAAAGCGAGGATAGAAAATCTCTCCCTCCTGCAACCCACCCGCCGGGTGAATAAATATACTGTAAGAAATATTTCATACATCATCTTGTCGTAAATGTACCGTGGAAATCTCAGAGTGGCTCATTCTTTGCGGATCGGTTCAGTTGTGAAGGGTCATTAGGTCCAGACGAAACAGCCCATCGGGGGCGAGAGTAAGGCTTTGGATTGGCGATTCCTTTAAAAAAAAAAGTTTTAAAAAATAAATATTTTTATATATGTTCATATCAACTATGGGTGGGGGGGGGTGTTAACCAACCTGTTTTATTGTTTGTTTTGTTGAGGTAGGTTTTTTTAAGCAAACTTTTTTGTTTTTAATATGTACCGAAATGCCACTTTTATTATTCATGGGAATTCACACATTTGGAAAATGTTTTACCAAATGAATACATCCGTGTTAAATAAATAAATATAAGCAATGCATTCGGGTTTTGTTTTTTTGTTTGTTTGTTTTTTTGCATGTGAGCTCCAGGTTTGGTTTGGTGTCTTCTCAGGTCAGGCAACCCGTTCAAACTCTATTCTTAAGGGTAACCAAAATAATCTATATTCGACATGATAGAATAACTCGTGTAGTCATTTTGCAGATAAATAAAATAGTTACCAAGAGTTAATAGTTGGTACGAGAGTTTTTGGGGTTTTTTTTTTTTTTGTTATCTAGTCCAGCAGCTTCAATGGATGGCGTCTCATCGTTTTGGTGCCGAGGGAAGATTTGGGGTGAAAGGTCAAGTGTCCGTACTGCCGTGGCGACTGCTGCCTCCGTGACCTCTCTGAGATGGCGGCGGGGGGTCAAAGGACGTGGACGGTAGCCCACGCTCCAGCTGTTGCCGAGGCGACGTCATCACACGCAGGCGGCGAACCAACCTGACAACCAGGAGAGGAAAGTGGGGGGGATGGGGGGGGGGTGACTGAGCCAGTGGCCTTCATTCTGAAAGAGAAGGAAAAAAGACGTGATGTGGAATGATGACAATAACGTCTGCATCTTACGAAAGTAAACTGATGACAATCGTATTGGGGTTTTTTTTTTTCTTCAGGAGAAAAAGTCCAAATCTTTTTTTTTTTCTTGCGATACAAAGGAAGAAACACGTTGATTTTTTTTTTTTAAAACATATAAATTCATATTTATTGGCAGTTACTGAAAAGAGTGATAATCTTCCGGAGATAATTCTTATTTCTTTCAAGAAAATTTGTTTCATTTCACAAGAATAAACTCAGATTTTTTTTTCATTTTTTCAAAGAATCAAGCTGTAGCATTTTAATTAAAAAAAAAAAAAGGTTGGACTTAAATTGTATTTTTCCAGAAGAAAGTGACATTTGTAGAGAAAATTGTATTTATTTATTTTTTTAAATCTCACGTGATTTACAAGAAAAAGACCCCCCCCTTAAATAAAATGACAAATTACGAGAAAATTAAAATTACTAGAATAAAGGCGCAAGGATAAAGTCGGGGTTTCTTGACCGTTAACAGCTGTATTCTTACAAGAATAAGAAAAAAAGACTTTAGGCCACGATAAACTTCTGTTTAAATACAGACAGTTTTTCCTCAATCTATGGATTATCAAATAAAATAAAGTTGTTTTTTTTAAAATGAAATTTCCGAGCGTGAGCCTAAAGAAGCCAACAATAACATCCTGATGGAGTCCGAATCATTTGACAGTCGCGTGCGGTCAATCTCTGAACAGGAACACAAGCACAAAAACATAGCAGGAGTGTCCTGGTGGCTGGTCCACCCGAATGACAGACCACCAACGTAGGTCGTCTGCTGTTCAAGTTCTCCTGATTCCGAGACAGTGTGCCATCAACTAAAATTTCATCTCCGAGCTGATTTCACATTAAGACCAATACATGGCCTTGCTTTAAGTCCAAAAGTGTGTGCGTGTGTGTGTGTGTGTGTGTGTGTGTGTGTGTGTTCAAATGGATTGCCCCACTTTGTTACCAAGTAAGGAATAAGTGCTCTTCAAAGTGTGTGTGTTCCTCAGTCAGTGGCTTTAAAACAGCGTGGCATTCAGCAGTCACATACACAAACATCAGGTATTGCAGACTGAATACGCACTCCAAATAAACATGCAAATGTCACACTCCGATACACACACACACACACACACACACACAAGCACACACACACAACCGTGACCTATTCTTCTTATTTATTCTCATTCATGCAGTCGCCACAGTGTCGCTTTCCGTCCCAGTGGAAAACACTGCTGAACTCTGACCCCCCACGCACTTGTTTGTGAGCTTTCATTTGCATGCAGCTATCAAACGGCGGCGGAAGTGTCGGCCGACAGCGCGCACAGACACACAGGCACGCACACACTAGTGCAAATACACACGGCCCGGCCGGCCGCATTTTTGTCCCCCGCTCGCCGTCTTCCTCTCCCCCCCACCCCCCAACCCCCGGAGGCGAACAAGAGCTGTTTTCACAAAGCTGGATGTGATCGTTCATTCTCTAAAACAAACCTTTCATTCAGGCCAAGCTGACCGCCCCCCTTCCCCACAACACTCCTACTATAAACACACACACTTTGTTCTCCTGTTTTTGACTCCTAACCTACAAAAAAAGAAAAAAAAAATCTGAGATTCATGTCATTTTTTTAATGGATGACTCATTTTGAGGAAAATAGAGATTCAATTTGGCTCCCCGAATGGTGCCTCCTGATTGTTTGGGTTCATTAGAGGGCAAAAAAAGGGAGAGAGAGAGAGAGAGAGAGAGAGAGAGAGAGAGAGAGAGAGGAGCAAGAAGAAAGCGTTTGGGAAGAGGTGGAAAAACCACAGTAACAGAATCAACCTGACTGAGAGGACCGGGAATGCGGTGAGGTCATGGGACCGGCGGCCGACAACAATCTTTGTGTGTATTTGTGTGTGTGCGTGTACTGGTCCAGACAGTAGCCTGGCGAGGCAAAACACTAGGGTGAGAATGACTGAGATGTGCCGGGAAAATGAATCAGCGGGAATGTCGCTTAATAAGACGCTCTGCGGAGGAGACGGACACATGAATGTCGCGTCTCGGCGCACCAGACAACAGTGGTGTGTGTGAAAAGGGGGTGTTACTGAAAGAATGGGTTCCAGGTCGATCAAGGAATGAACCCGATGGCTACTAAACCCCCGTCCTGTTTTAAAGGGGGAGGTGGTGAGTGTTACATAAACACACCTCCCTCAGTGTTTTACCCCATTTCGGGCCCTCCCACAAACCACTACGACCGCCCACCCTCACCGACTGTTCATTATTTATTTAGCTCCCTAGGCTAAACTTAGCCAAGCTCCATTCAGGGCTCGGACACTGGAGTGTGTTTTGAGCAGCCGGGTCTCTTTCGACGTAAACACGTCCCACTGTGGCCTCCTCCGCTTACCGTATCTCGTATAAATAGCCGTTACAGGGAGAATGCGAGTTGATGCGAGGTCTATGTTCAGCATAAAATGGTCATTGGAAGGGACGGAATAGAAATAGAAGAAGCCATTACGGGGAGAAATAAGACAGCTAACCGCTTGAAAAGGTGGGGAGAAAAAAAAAAGGTTTACGCATTAACGACAGTGGTCAGAAGGATTAATAGCCGCCTCAGGTGGTCCGAAGTAAACATGGATACTGACCCTAAACATATGAATCAAGTGTGTTGGAGCAGGATACAGGCCCTCGAGGCCCGGAATTGCCCATCCCTGCTTTACACGATCACCGACTTGAAAAAATTCTCACAGAAAAATGGAAAACCCCCAAATTATTCAAAAACACTGGAAAAAAATATTTAAAAAAAAAACTGAATATGGTAAGAAACCTTGAATTATTTAACAGTGCCGTAAAGTCTTATTTTGCAGATCTGATCAATTACGTCATTGATTTATCAGCAAATTATGACCTCACTACTGATCGAATTTGCATAAAATACCGAGAGCTGATCCAGCCGATCACATCTTGGAAAGTGCGGTAAAAACAACAAATCAAGCCCTGTTCACGCAAAGAGTCCAAGCATAATACGCCTGCCAGGCCAGTAGGTGGCACTATCACTTCCTCATGAGGGTATTTCTTATACTTTGGGTTGGAAATAGGAGTCCATCTTTTGTGACACCAGCCAGGAAGTTTTGTCACACACAGAGTATGCGCGTTTTCAGAATTGTTTGTAAAATGCGACACGATAAAACAAATACGATCATGGTTTTGTCATAAATATTCAGCTCCAAGATGTCACATCAACAACCCTTTTCGTGAAAAAGAGCAAAAGTGACGTGAGGTCTTCTCCCGGAGAGATGAACAGGCTGGGATATGTTGTGTTTACATTCCAGCCTCCCGTCGGCTGGCTCCTCCCTGATCTATCGCAGAGCTTCACTACACAAACACCGACTGCCTCGCGACCTGTGACCTCCCACGCCTCGGGCCTGTCCGACACACAACACAAAAACAAGCCCTGCTCGCTCACCTCAACCCTTGCTCGTGACGTAAACACGACCTTCGATTGCAGTATCCACTTGCAATGACTCGCACACATGCGGGACGATCGGTGACAATATTTTGAAATGGATGGAACGTTCCATTATTATTTCCAATGATGTCATCACATTGCCTAATTGAAACACGCATGCACATTTTAGCATTATTCCAAAAGCATCACAACTGGCTTCCTGATGCATGCAAAATATACAAACTGAAGCAAATAAATGTTGGCTCCTCTCGAGTAACCAGTAAATTTGCTGCTGATCGCAGCCAAGTAATGCAACTTTTTTTTTCTTTCTTGCAAGTCAACCATATTGCGTTTTTTTCTACCAATTACCTGTGGATTGATCCAAGTAACTGGATAAAAATTGGTTTTGCATGATCAAAACGCACTAACATCCATCCTCATGCTTTACAATATCTGTGACTTTTAACGTGTGTCGCTTTAAAAGGTGGGGCCTGGCCGGGTGAGTGACGTGGGTGTCAGGAAATGTGAGTGGAGAGTTAGCTGGCTGCTCACTAGCTAACGAACCACGTTCGTCAGTCTGCGTATTGATGTACTCGTGCGACGACTACGGCAGCTCATCTTTGAATGATAACATGCAACAGCTTCTGTGTCTTTCCTTGACTGCTTGTGGAGGCCATACGATGCGCTCTTACTAGTGTCGGTGGATTATATTAAATTATCAAACATCATCTTGTTGTTTGTGTTTGCGATTGTAGATGTGTCATTGTGGTAACATGGCGCTTAATCTACCTTGTGAAGTGTAAACTATTCAAGCTACAATACTTGAGCCCTATTTGAATTGGGGTTAAATGCTTCCAGAGGCAATGAATGAGTTCAAAAGTATAATATTGGAAGGGGAAAAAAAGAAAACTGATTCATTTCTTTCCCCTTTAGTCCATCAAAGAAATGGACTCACATGTTGATGACTAATAAACACACACGGGTATTTGTTTCAGCATAAAATGGTCATTGGAAGGGACTGAGCGTCTGAGACGCGCTCGCATCACACAGCGGCTCGAGACGAAGCAAGCCGCTCAACAATGTTTAATCCTGAAGTGAGCGTAAGCCTTCTTACCTCCAAGCTAAATTGGGGATAGGTTGACTTTGTTTTTATCTGCGACTGGAACATCCTGCCCTAGTGTACTCTCTCAAGAGTTATGTATCACACTCACTGTGACTGCGCAGAGCTGGAGGGGAGGGGTGTACGGGACAGGTGAGGGCAAGAAACAAAGTGTTCCTTCCCTCTGTTATGTGTCATCAAAGAGTCACGTTTGGCTGCCCTCGAAAAAGTGCACTTTGTACTTCTCTTAACTTTTGTCATTAAAATGCACGCGAGTGGGGAGATTATCATGAGGGATCCGATGAAATAAAAAAAATAAATAAATAAGCCGGAGCGTTCTGTTCTTGTTTTTTTTTTTTTTTTGGAGGCTCGTGGTGACAAGAGCAACCTTTAATCAAGCATGATTAGCTTTAGTTGCTAAATGGGTCATTAGGAAGATCCCCCGTGGCCTCTGGTGCGAGAAAGCCAAAGAAGGCCACGGAGGTACCGAAACACAACAGAAAGTACACACCTATGCCAAATAAAGCATGTGTGTGTCAACCGAGAAGGGGGGCTGTGCCCTCGCACACCCTCCTCCCACTACCACCTTCTCCCTGTTGTTGTGGCAGATGGTGGCCGGTCATTAGCGTATTGTCACTCTCCTCCGAAAAGAGCCAGATAACCAGTGAGTGCTGCTTGGCG